CCCCCCCCCCCCCCCCCTGAATAATTACGTAAGGCTGGCCAGACTCCCCTTTTCTATTGTTTAAATGCATAATTTAATGAAAAAATGGTGTTGAAACAAATCGGTAATGTTTTAAACGCTACTAATGGCTGGCAGGAGATCATAAAGAATAACAGTTGTTTGGAAAAAACAACCAGTTTTTAAATTCAAAAAGTTCAGAAAAAATTACATTTAACAAAAAAAACATGAAACGTCTAAAAAACGATATTTGGACTAGTCGGTCTTTAAATTAACGAAATGTGGAAGAAATAAAATCTCAAAAAGTAAAATTTTGACGAACCAAAGGTTTTTTCCCTCCTTCTCGATAATAAGCGTTTGGCTTACGTAAGGCAGCGCTTGATACCCCCTCCCCACCGTAAAGGCGCCNCCCCCCCCCCCTCCCCCAGTGCCTTATGTAGTTTGTGAACGGCCCCTATTTTATACTTACGGAAAACGTCAAAATTCGAATAAATATCACTGTTGCTTTTTTATTTGTAACTGTATGAATCACCTATTTTCGCCCACCCGTTTCGAACCGATAACTTTTTTAAAAAATGCTCCACCCTAACGTCACAGTTGGTATCGATTGTATCGAATTGAATCCAAACAATCAAAGGTAACCTTACATTGACCAACCCCCTCCCATTTTTGAATAGAACGCAATAAAATGAATAAAAAATGTTCAGTACAACTTTTGCCTACGTAGCCAAATTTTCGATAAAAATCGTTCCAAAGGGCCAAAAATGGCAAAAATTCGATAAATTGCCACGCTTAAAGTTCAAGAAAGAGGGGTACAACTTTTATATTGACATACGTTACAGCTCTTATCTATATATACAACATATCAAAAAATTACAATTGTACCTGGATTCCCACGATGTGAAAATTGACCGGGATATCGATTTTAGCGGCCTTTTTTTACTTGACGGTAGCTGTTTAGAATGTTTCTCGACCTTTGTCACCCTCTATGGGTGTGTACTATATGTATTTTTCTACGTACTTTTCATATCTGGCCATAAAAATGGCTTCCTGTGAATTTTAAAAGGCATAACGGTCCATTGTCGCCAATTTTCACCACTTTTTAGGGGTTTTTTCAAGTTTACCTGTGTGAAACTTAATTTAATCTAAAAACCGTGTACATTTTCGTAAAACGTAAAAAATACATAAAAATGTGATTCGTAACTTTTCCCTACGTTGCCAAATGTTCGAGAAAAATCGTCCTGAAGCGCCAAAAATGCCAAAAATTGGGTTAATCATCACGTAGAAGGTTAGGAAAAAGGTAGAACTTATCTTTTGTATGTACAGGTTTTCTCTATGTCTTTGTAAAAATTTACCTAGTATTAAGTTATTAGGTAATTGTCTTAGTAGTTAGTTAATTTTATTCTAAGCTTAATCTAGTTCTCATATACCCATCTTTTTCACCCTCACTTCATTTCATTAATTGGCTAACTCTAAGATATCTATTTACTCATTATAATGTAACAGTGCTAAATTTGTGTAACAAAGATGTGCTAAATAAATAATAAAAAAAAAATAATCAAAAAAAAGAAAAAGGTAGGGAAAAGTTACGAATCACACTATTATGCATTATTTTACGTTTACGTTTTACGAAAATGTACACGGTTTTTAGATTAAATTAAGTTTCACACAGGTAAACTTGAAAAAACCCCTAAAAAGTGGTGAAAATTGGCGACAATGGACCGTTATGCCTTTTAAAATTCACAGGAAGCCATTTTTATGGCCAGATATGAAAAGTGCGTAGAAAAATACATATAGTACACACCCATAGAGGGTGACAAAGGTCGAGAAACATTCTAAACAGCTACCGTCAAGTAAAAAAAGGCCGCTAAAATCGATATCCCGGTCAATTTTCACATCGTGGGAATCCAGGTACAACTGTAATTTTTTGATATGTTGTATATATAGATAAGAGCTGTAACGTATGTCAATATAAAAGTTGTACCCCTCTTTCTTGAACTTTAAGCGTGGCAATTTATCGAATTTTTGCCATTTTTGGCCCTTTGGAACGATTTTTATCGAAAATTTGGCTACGTAGGCAAAAGTTGTACTGAACATTTTTTATTCATTTTATTGCGTTCTTTTCAACAACGTATACGGTTTTTAGTTTGAATTGATTTCTGCGTGTGTAAAATTGAAAACACCCCTAAAAATTTTAGGGGGGCCAAAAAGTAGCCTCCTTTGACCTAGGAATATCCCCCAAGTTTCAAATCTTTACCTCAATTAGGTAAAAAGTTAGAGGGGGTGGAAGGGACTTTTGGATCACCCTGTATATGTGATAAAAATATATATATTTGAAAAAGGAACATATATATGATAAAAAAAATATATATGAAAAAAAATGTATATTCAGTAAATGGACAGACGGCGTTCCATAGGAAACTAGTAGTGGCGTAACGGGCGCCCCCGCAGACCCTGCTATGCGGGGGGGCCCAAGCGCCTAGGGGGCCCTCGGCCGCCGGAATTTTTTTTTTCTCTCTCTCTTTAATGCTTTAGCTTTGGTTTCAAACTTTGGGCCTTTACTTACCGAGATGCGGCTTCTTCCTCTGATTTTTATTGTTAGCTCAGGGTTTTTCATACTTCTTTTGGACTGTTCCTAATTTTTTTTTTGCTAGAGGGCCCCTGCCTTCCAATGTCCACTCAGTGATTACTAAAAATTTTCTCCTTCTTGTCACTTTTCATAGGTATTTCGGGCTTTGGGTGGCCCATGAATCTAAAGGGCCCACAAAGCCCTTGGGGGCCCTTCAATTCTTGGGCCTGCATGGGCCCCTCTGTAGATCCTTGGGCCTGGGCTGGGCCCCCGCCACCCTTTAGATCCTTGATCCTTTAGGGGCCCCATTTAATCGGACACGGGATCCGGGACGGTGAGGGGAGAGGCATTCCAAGTCCAAGTCCGTGATTTGAAATGTCTCTAGCCCAAAACGGGAAGGGGTGAGGGAAGTAGAGGGGCAGAACGGGGGATAATTTTGGAATTTTATCGACATGGTGGGGGGGGGGCTAGAAAAAATTTTGCAGGGGGGCCCAGCGGAAGTCCGTTACGCTACTGGAAACTAGAGTGGCTGAGGACTGGCCTAAATCAAGGTGGCTCTCGTGGACATTTTCGCCTTTCTGAAACTGCTTCATCCCGTCAACTCAATCATACAGGAACGTTCAATGATTTAAAACACTGTCTTTGAAACAAATGTTTTTTCAAACTGCGTGAATCATCTCTAAATTATCACGTTTGATGTTTATGGTATAGTAGTAATAGTGAGGTTATGTTAGATTGTTTGGATCCGATTCCTTACAATCAATC